TTAGGAAACAGTTTACAAAAATGTTCATTTGGATTAGCAATGAAACAAAAAATCAATGTAACTTGCCTCTGTCTTATCAGCATCACAAAAATGAATCGAAACATCAGGGGCTTATAATGGTAAACACATTTAAATTGACATTTAAATGACATTAGAATATCAACCCTGCCAATAAGTGAAGTGCTATTAGCAAAAGGCATAGAACGCAAGAGCTAATAATGGCTATACATATGCATAAACAGATTATCACCGAAATAATTATGTACGAGGGGTGACAACTCTGGAAATAATTAAGTAAAGTTTCTTGCAAAAAGAACAACTTTATAAAATTTAAGATAGGTTAAATTAAGTAACAGAAGTTGCAAATGACATTAGAATGTCAACCCTGCCCTAAGTGATATGTATAAACATATTATCACCGATATCAAATCCATCAGCTGCTGGTCGCCGTGACTTAAGTACAGTTGGCCCAAAAAGGTTTTTCGGGATGTCGAGTCAGGTTTTCTCGCCCAAAGAAGAAGTTATTGCCTCACGAGCATAATGTAAATCTCGTGCTAGAACCCGGCACATAACTCACAAGCCGAAACACGGGGCAATAAAACATTTTCCATTTTCCACCTAATGACACGCCCCCCTCCCTGCCATTCGCCCACTTACATGGTACATGTGAAGGAGTGAAATGTGTGGGGTGGGTTCATAAATTCAATTCACTTCGACCAGCAGCTGCAGTTGATTTTCAGTCCCAGTTTCGAGTGATTTTCTTAATGTAGTTCAAAGGGAAATTCGGAAAATTCCAACGATGAGGGGATGAGGGGCAAAGGGTTTTTCCCGCCCCCTCCCCCCACCGCTTTTCTTAAGTGCTGCGAAGATCTAATAAATTTCCACTACGTCAAGGAGTCAGGGTCGACGCCCATTTTTCGGGTGGCGTTACGGATTTTTGAATAATATTTCACCTGCAGGTGGGTTATGCATCATGTGTGTGTGTGTGTGTGTGTGTGCGTTTGTGTGTGTGTGTAATTGTCTGAAAAATTACCATGTCTACATGACACGCACCCACGCACGCGTCGCCATTAAATCACATTTTCTTAGGGGCTGCTGGTCGGGGAAAATGGGGCTGCTGGAAAAGTGAGGAAAAGTGGATGGGCCTTACTTTCGCCCTAGGCGAATGGCTGTACTAAGCACTTAGGCTAATCAAACTAGGGCTTATCAGCGTTTTTTTAGGTGAAAGCATAAATAAATAATTAAAAATACTGTTCATATAATTAAAATTTTAATTTTATTTAACATTTCCAGCGATATTGATACCAGGATAAGCTAAAAAGTTAAATAGAATTCAAATCTCTAAGTTTTCTTGTGCATCATTAAATGATTTGAACTCGAATTCCTTATTTCAGCGACAAAAATAACTAACACATTTTCGCCTGTCCACCGACTTTGTGCAGTTGTCAAGTTGCCAAAGTCGAGGCAAATCTCGGCGTTTATTTCGTGTTTGATTGAAACTCTGATTAATTTCAGCAGTCAGGCACTCCACATCCACTTCCAGTTCCACCTATGTACACACACACCTACACCTCCTTCCGCTCGAAGAAGGCTGTTTTCAACACCTGGGCACATTCGCTGTTGGGCTTTCATTTGTAATGAGTGCTGGGCACACACGTACGGCGCATTGGTTACTCGGTAGGAGACACGGCACGGTTTTGGATCCGGATACGGATGTTAAGGGGGTGCTGGCTGCTCTTCAGTTGGGCGGAGCAGCAGGTGGGGATTGGGATTGAGATTGGGGACATCCCCCATGTGTTGGGGACAATCTGTCATACTCTGGGTAAGAGTGTACTCTGGGTATATACTTTAACTGATAAAAAATAAGGTGCAAAGTTCTTGTCCTTTTGAACCTTTTTTGAACCTTTTGTTTGATCTGCTTCACAATTTCTGTTTACTTGATCAATAGGAGCCTTTTTTAATTTTATGCAATGTTCCTATTTATTTATTTACTTGCGTAATTATATCATAGCATGAAAAGTTTTTTAATTCATAAGTTATTACATATACAAAAATTTATGTTTACATTTATTTATATTTATTTTAATTAAAAATAGCTCTTGACTTTAAATTGGTTGTGCCAAAATAATGTTTCTTAATACATTTCTTAAATTTAAACGTAGAATATATTCCAAACTCCAAAACTCATTTACACATTTAATATCTTAGAGTATTTGAGGCTGCGTTTTGGCCATGTTGTTTTGGCCACCGTGTGGTACTCGCATGATTATCACTTTGCACGTCCTATATGCTTTATAGTTGCGTGGCCCATCTGGCCCATCTGCTCCTGTTTATACGCTTTGCGTGATCACATTTATTCGGTGGCCTTGTGGTGCTCAGATTTGGCTGAGTTGGCACATGCTATAATATTTGGCGACAAGCTCGTAAGTCGACTTAATGGCCGCCAAAATGACAGGAGCAGCTAATGCCAAGATCTAATTGGTTAAATCAGTGTATAACTAACCCTATCCCATGTCCCTTTGTCCACTTTACTGCTGTTATTATCCCTAAGAGCTGCCAAGACGTTGCCAAGGCCATAAGCAAGTTAAAAGCAGCTAAAATAGACACCTGGGACAGCAACTGAGGAAAGGAGTTGGCCAGGTGCAGCTGCAGATAGCCAGCCATCCAGCCATCCAGTCATCCTGGCCTTCTGGCATCCTAACATCCTGGCTAAGTAAGTGCAGCTCAGCTCAGCTCACAGTTCTTTGCCCAGGAACCCATTTCCCAGCTCCCAGGTCCCAGGTCCCTCGTTCAGCTCCTTTGGGGGCCAATCCAGTGCCACAGAATTTATTGACTTTGTCGCTGTCGTGTCCTCAGCATTTTCCCCTCACCCCCTTTTTTCCGCCCCACTATACACTGGCAAAAAAAAGGTATAAAATACAAATATTCAATACTAAATACTTAGATTTTTATCCATTTCGGCTTAAAGTTATTTTAAATATAAAATATTTTTAAATATTTTATTCATATTAAATTTATTACATATTTTTAAATATTTCTTTCAAATTTAAATTATTTTAAATATTAAATACGTTTTTTTTTAAATATTATTAAAGTAAGTTTTTTTTAAATGTTAAATATTTTCAAGTACTTTGTTCATATTTAAGTTATTTTAAACATTAAAGTTTTTTTCAATATTAATTTATTTTTAAGTTTTAAGATAATCTTATTTGACGGCATATAACCTTTATACATAATATTTATGTTGCTTATGTTTTTATTATCAAACAGTTGTTATGGTGTTAAAAAAAACATACAAAGTTAAACAAAAAATTTTTGTTTTTTCATGTATCCTTATACCAAAACTAGATATTTGAAATAAATAAATATTCTGTACCGTTTACCTTACCTAAGAATTTATCAAGCAATTACCTTGTACATAGGTGCCAAAAACTTGTTCCCTTACCAACACTGTTTATGGGTCAAATTTTTAATTTTTCCTAGAAAATAAAAAAAAAATAATACAATTTCACATTCCACTAGCACACTATCTTCCTATATATGATTTTTAAATTTACATACTCAATATTATACTAAATAGACATCTTGCCTCTTTATTTCAGTGGAAAAGCTGGAGCTCGTGGACCAAGTCAAAGACAGCTGGGTTGTCTTAGTAATTTTGCACCTGGCTAAATTAAAACTGAAGTCCGGGCCATAAATTCAACAGCGTTCGCCACACACACACACCCAATCACAGCTGATCATGATGATGATGATGATGTTGGCAAAAGTCCACCTCAATCTCTGTGATGTCCCGAGGTCCTGAAGTCCTGATGCCATGTTTTGTCTCCCGTTTGCCGGAATTTAACAACCCAGGGGTTGCTTTGTTGTTTATGAGCACGTGTAATCACTTTGGCCATGGTCCACTTGATGGCCATCAACTGCGACTGCATTTTCTGCATCCCAAGCTCCCCGGAAAGAGGGTGAAAAGATGACCAGGAGGCAGCTTAATGAACAGTAGTGGTGGAGTAGCCTTGGCAACCGTATGTAGTTTTCAAATACCTCTCAATTTATTTACTTTTTCACTCTATCTTACTCTTGCCAATAACTTCAAATTATTTTATGCCAGTATGCAACTTTAAGCTGATTGCAAAGGATGAACCAATATTTTCCCAACCAATCTCTTTAATTGTTTTTAAACCTCTATTTCGTAACGTTTTTTTAATTTTTATCATTTTCTAACATCCATTGCATTCTCTAAAAGTGAACAGTGCTGAAAAAACTTTTAATCATGCTTAACTGAAATTGCGCAGCTCTTGTTTTCATGTAATCTAAGCAAACAGTATTAAAAAATGTAATATTCCGGTTTTCCATTAAAATTTTCGGAGCGACAGTGTTGAAAAACTGTTTGTGATGCTCATCTCAGCTCTTGTTTCCCTGAAATTCTGCTTCAGTGTTGAAAAACTGTTTGTCATGCTCAAAGGAAATTTCTCAGCACTTTATTGTTTTTTTTTATCTTAATTATCTGCTTTTAATTTCATCAATAACTTCCGTCGATAGATTTAAAAACCTTGCAATATATTTTTGGAGCGACAGTGGTGGCTAGTGAAATTGCAATCAACTAAGAGTTTTAAAGTCCTAGGAGGTAGCTGGCTTTTCTTGATTTGGTTGGTGTTTGCTGAGCCTATTTCCGCTTGTGGAAATTCTTAAAGTAGACGCATTTTCACCTCTCAACCTTAACTCTCGATGACTCTTTGATTGCAGCAGCATTTCAGCATTTGCACCTGCTGCCGGACACACAGTCGAAGTCGGAAAAACAAGTGGAAAAGGTGGAAAAGGTGAGTGCGATGGCAGAACTTTGGATGCGACTGGATCGACTGGACACCAAACACTCGGCTAACAAACACACACACACTCACACAAACACAAACACATGTGAGAGCCAAGCGCATTCCTGTGAATTTTTGTGAATTGAAATTTTTGAAATTTTCCGTCACAGTCTGCACTCTGCAGACGGCCAGACACATTGGAATCCCGTTAATTGCTTCGAGAGGAAGTGAGGCGAAGTGAGGGAGCGGATCGGAGTGAGTCTGACACGCCCCCTTTTCCATTGGCACAGCCTGCCTGGATAAGCCTACAAGAGATTTTGTGAGGTGATTTCCGTTTTCCAAAACAAATGTAAGTGAGGGTAGTATTTAAAATGGATAATTATTTTACATTTTTTTTGAGAAATTTGATCAGCAAAATTTTTTTTGGCAAAATGCTAATTTATAATGTAATGTTTATAAATGTTTTGGGTCAAAAGCTGTTAAAATGTTTATGATTTTTTATTTGCCATTTATAATTGGCTATTTTTAGTTTTCAATAAGAAAATTGAACTTTCCCTATAAAAAACATTTATAGTTTTAATTTAATTATTTTGTAGAGGAGTCCGATTATTTCTAAAGAAATCCCTTCCAATTTATTTTTGATTGAAACTACCTTCTTGGATAGTATTTCCGATTTAAAAAATGTGTGTCGACAGACAATTTATTGAGAATATTTATTTTACGTCTTGTATTGATTTGAAAAAAAAAGCTTTTGTTAAAACCAAAAACCAAAATTAGTTTAGCCTAAATATTTATTTTAGCAATCAGAAGTTATTAATTTGTTAATTAGAAGTTATTAAAGAGTAAGTGATACTTTTACAACAAAAGTTTCGTCAGTCTTCGAATATTTCGAAATTTTTTTATAGTTTTCCAAATAAATTTTGGTATCTACAAAATAGAAATAAATGAAAGAAATTTTAATATTGAAATGCACTATTGTTTTATATATATATTTAAATATATATATATACATATATATTTATCGCTTATTATATTATAAAGTCTTAACATTTCTGGGTTATTTACTGTTTAAAAAAACAGCCTGCCATTAACAGTGCCTATTAAATTAACAGGGCCACGGGACTACTAGTTAACAGCTGTCAGTTTGGCGCTCTCTCGCGATGTTTCCGTCAGATTTCTTTGAGTAGCTCAATGCCCTCAACGATTTTGTTCTCTTTCACTCCATGCGCATTTAACCATTTCCACTCAAAATCTCGCGCACTGTTGGCATGCAAATTGCGCTCATGCTGGCACTGATCCACTCAAAAGTCTACGTCGGAAATTCACGGTGGCCAAAAATGTAGTGAACTTGATAATTTAAAATTTAAAAAGAGTTAGTTAAATAGTAATTTAAACAAGTCTTTATTCAAATGTATTATAAAAATATGAATTGATGATGATCGTCTGAAATTTTGAGGACATTAGAAGACAATAATGTAGGGGCATTAGATAGTTTATAGTTGCAATAAAAAGTTAAAAAATTATAAAAGTTATAAAATTAATTAACATTTAATACAAAATTTGAAAAAATAACGCTTTCCTAACAAAAATGTTAAGGATTCGTTGTATCTTAACAGAGGTCTAACCGCTCTGTCGAGTGACTTTTGGGCAGAGCACTCGAGAGAGCGGCAAAGCTAAATGGCGCCGCTCTTTTCTATCAAGCCAAGATACTACTTTCTGTTAACATTTCTGTTAGCAAAACAGAATAACAACGGCAGTTTTTTTTTGCCTTCGCTTCGTCGTCAAGTTCGTTGGTTTGGCCGTTCCGCGTTCCGTGTTTTTAGTTAAATTCTTGTTCGTTCCCAAGTTTAAATTATAAATTAATAATTATTGTTATTCAGTGTGTGTGTATGAAGTCTTTTTTTGTGTGATTTTAGCAAGTGCTTGTCGCGGCAAAGGAAACCAAAGCAAAAGCCAAGCCTATCCCAACAACAACAAGTGCGCGAGTGCAAGAAGGAGGAGAAAAAGAAGTAGCGGGGGGCAAGTGCAGAACAACAACAACAAAGTGGCGACAGCTGTTTAAGTTATTTTTTGGCCAAAATGCAAAATTAATACAATGCGGCAGGCGATAAAATAAATAAAGCCGAAAAAACAAAACACAAGCCCTAGAGCATTCACAGTTAAGCAACAGCAGCAACAACAACGGCCAGTGTGGCAGCAAAAGACAAAAACAAAAGCAAAGGCAAGAAAAAGAAGGCGAAGCTGAAAGAAGAAGAAGAAGAGTTTGCGCAGTCACGTGTGCAGTCGACGTCGACTGCGGCAGCGGCAGAGGAAAATTCGCATGCGGAAAATTCACGTTCGTGATGATGATGAAACGCGAGGCTATGATGATGAAGCTGTTAAAGAGGGAGCCAAAAGCTGCAGCCATAACTAACAGCTGTTAGAAAGAGACAGGTGAGTTTGGTTTGTTTTTGTTTTCTTCTCAGATCCTTGATCGCGTCGTCCTCCATCCGCCTCTTTCGCACACTCAGTTGTTTCAATAAGTATGTCAACGATAAAAAAAGAAGGAGAGAGCAAGAGGGGAAATCACTTGATTTGTCTTCGCCTAATTTGCCAAAACAAAACGAAAAACCAAAAAAAAAGACGAAAACATAAAAAGAACCAGAAAAGCACATACATTAGCGACAAGACAAATCAAGAAATAGAAACAGCGGTACAGCAAGGGGTAAATGAAAAGGGAATTTTATAAAATGTACAATTGCCACAATTAATTGATTTTTCATCTATTTAAGAATAAGAATAAGAAGCCCCCAGCTAATCATATTCTTTCATTAGATTTACTTTATTATTTATGTATTCCATACAACAATTCATCTTAACTTGTTCAAATAAAATTCCAGTTTCTATTTGCGGAAATAATTTTAAAACCTATACAACTAAAGTTTAAGGTTAATTGTTATAACCTTTATATGTAAACCTTAAAATGCACTAAGTACTTCCAAACGTAAAAATATCTCACAGTTATAAGTTATCTGAACATACATTTTTCCAGATGAAAGAAAAGGTCTATAACCTTTAAAATGCCGTTTAGTTTCTAAAGAAATTTAGCAACCGATAACAGTGTAATAATATCTTGTAATTTAAACACAAAATTCTTGATATAAGGTGGTTTATACTTCTATAACTCTTAGAATCCTTAATGCTGTTGTAATGCCCGCGACTGTTACGACCTAGTGGGTGGTTTTGCAAGCGAGTTGTCACTGTGGGCGGTGTGAGTCAAACATGGCGCAATATACCAAACAATTCCATTGATTTTTCTTGTGGGAATAGTTGGGAAAGCGACACTGTAGACATAGGAAACAACGGTCTGTTTTTCCTTTGCAAAAGAGCCATCCGCACCCTTGGTACTGCTGCCACTGCTGCCACTGCTGCCACCCCCATCCGCCACCCATTCGGTGTCCTTGTTGTTTTATTTGCTGCCGCTTTCCTTTTGCGTCTGTCTGCTGTCGTTGGACTTTTTGCAACAAGCTTCGACTTCTAGCTTGCCTCCTAGTTTTTTTTTTGTTTTGATGCCACCCGAAAACCCCAATTGTGTAAGTAGCAATTTTTTTGTACCTTTTGTTTTTTGCCCTAACGGAATTTATGTTAATTCGGTGCTGCTACATTCCCGGGCCTCCAAACCCTTCTTAGTTTTTCCCATACTAACTTCTTTCTCTGGCTGTTGATTTGATTTTTCGTGCTCCAATGGGGTAGGTTAGGATTCCGGAATCCAGAATCCGGAATAAACGGAGTATTTCAAATACCTCTAGATCAATTCGGTTCGCATTTTTCTTTGATTTGTTCGAGATGTTTCAATAGTGATTTGGTTCTGTAAGGGTCATGTATTATAATTCTTCTTGTTATTTCAATTCATAGAATATTTGTACGAGAATTTAAAATAAAAAAATTGATTACAGGCTTTTATTTTGTAATACAATCTATTAGAAACGATAAGTACATTTACGTTTTTTTCAAGCGTTATGTTAGTGAGTTTAAATATTCAGTTTTAGAGATAATTGTACTCTTCCATCTTTTATTGCAGTATCCTGGACATTTTCCACTGCAATCGGAGTCCTTTTCTTCAATTTCCCTTTTCCCCAGTGACAAGTAAACTTCGTCATTCAGAGTGCATTTACCGTTGGCGCCTTCAGTGCGTTTTCCCCGGCTTTTCCGCCACCTTGCACTTTTCCATGGATTCTGCCAACACGTGGATACGTGACTGTGTCGGTTTTCCTGCCGTTTTCACCTACAATGTCCCTACATTAGCCCACTTCCGCCCCTTTTCCCCCTAACATTTTGCTGCTCACGGTTTTTGTCACCAAGTTTTCATTACGGTTTTGTTTTGTTTTGTTCAAGTTGCTCGCTTTGTTTCTTGCCTGCTCCCTGGAAAAGCACTTCAACACTTTCTGCTGCATTTGCCATTTCCCATCTCAGTCCCAATTTGAAGCTTTCGCCAGGAAAAGACCAAATCCGAAATTGGAAATTGGAAATTTGCAGCGAATAATTGGTTTTGTTTTTCATTGTTCTCCAGTCTGCCTCTTGTTTTCCTAAATAGAAGTAGAAGTGTGGAAATCTTTGCAGTTTTTTCACACGATATGGGTCAAATTTTGTACTCTCAGAGGTGCAGAAAATTCGACACAAAAAAACCGCTATGCACTTGCGCCCAAAACTTGGGCCGAATGAAGTGCATTTTTGCGGAGCCACATCTGCAAACCTCAAATAGCAATTCCATGAACTAAGCACGCACGCAACATAAACATAACTTGGCCACCAACAAAAAAAGAATGCAAGAAACTAAACCAAAAACTAGAATGAAGGCAGAATGCAGTTTGAAGACACAGTGAATGCCCTTAAAACTCAGATTGTAGAGAGATAGAAATTGATGATTTTCCTTAAATGGAACTGCCAATATTTTTAATTTAAATATACCATATTATAAATACGTTATTTACTTGATATCCATTTCAAAACGGAACAAATGTGTCATCAATTAAGGTATTTATATATGTTTATTTAAAAATATATCCCATATATTTTAAACCAATACCAAAAGTATAACTAACAGCAGCTTCTTTATACTTTTTTTTTCCATATGTTTTTAACTTTCAAGCTAGCTAATAGTTGTTAAAAACTTTTGAACAATATGGCCACACGAAGGGTACTAGGAACATACTTTTTAGAATTTGAATAGAGTGTGCGGGTAAACCAGCTCGAGACGATTTTATTTTTGTTTTGTGCTGCAATTTTCCTACGTTCTCCTCGTTTTTGCCTTGGCGGCAGCGGACATGGCCGGAAACGTAGGAAACTTTAATAAAAACATGTCAAGAGCACTTTTCCCCATTCGCCCCACCGCAATACACAACCACTACACCACCCAGAAAGAGAAAAAATAAAGAGGAAAAAACCCCAAAAACCACCTACGACGACCGCAGTTGGCAATCGTTCAGTGGTTGTTTTTAGACTTGACCAAGTTTATTGCCTGCCATATGCAATTGCCGTAGATTATTTTTTGGGCTCTGCCGGGGACATCACCCCAACCTCTCTTGCTAACGCCCATTGTGTGCACAGATTTGCCACGCCCACCGCCTGCAATCAGACCCCACGGAAGTAGCCAGCTCCAGTCCCAGCGAAACCAAAACCGAGACTGTCGCTGTTTTTTGCACAGAAAGAAATTTAGATCATCTTGTAGATCCAAACTTATTAGATCCATATTCATTGTTTCCCTCTTTTTTCTCTATTAATATCATGATCTTTAAGAATTTCCCAAACAGTAAGAAAGTGATTGGTAAAATTCTATCCTATTCTACTCTAAGAGTTTTTGCAAGCAGTGAGAAAGTTATTCGGCAAAAGTACAAATAAAAAATATTTATATATAAAATATTTAAATACTTTTTCTTATCCCATTTTACATAGCTTAACATACAAAATTTAAATTTTTTCTGGTGTTCTTCCAAAATGAGACTGCTTCTCAAGCTCGCTAGGCAAACGGGGCGGCTACGTGATGTTGCCTCACTTGGCCAATTTTGGCCAACAGTAGTCCCTCTGTCCCTCTGTCGCTCCATATTTTGCCACACATATATGCTCATATATATCCAGTCTGAGCTCAAGTGCTCCGCGGCACGAAACTCTTGAGTTTGGAGCGATTTGCAGTGAGCTTTGGGGAGTTCGCAGTGGGGATATATTGCAGATATCGTTGGGAAACCCAGTCTTATCCGAAAGGGATTTTAGTGAGCTGGACGGTTTTGGGTTTTAAGAGCGTAGCAAATATTTTATAAATTAATTTGAAAAACTCATGCAAAGAATTAGCATTTCAAAGGCAGAGCATATTTTTATAAATATATTAACACTGTAATTAATATTGTTGGTTTTGTTTCGGTTTCAATGGCATATTTCATTAGAAGTTTCAAATTTTGTATAACATTGATTCCTTTTATTAGTTTCTGCCTTGCTCAATCTAAACATAAGTAACTAGTTGCGAATGGGTGCTAACTACTCATGGGACTACTGCCTTCAAATCGTTTTCTGCCCCTCGAAATCAGTCATTCATTGGCATTGCCTTAATCGAAGTGGTTTGCTAACTGCCTCAATGAGTCCTTAGAGCGTCTAACTGCGATTGCCAGTCGCACACACACACACACACGCACACACACTCATGTGCCTTGGTTTTCCGACTCCTGCCGGAAAAACCTCACCGCTAGTCAGTAGCCGACTTTCTTGCTATGGGCCAAAGCGAAGCCAGTTTTCCAAAACTGCTGTACATTTAATTAATTATTTATACAAGAAAAGGTAAACGTGCCAGCAGCAGTAGGTTCATGGTGGGGATATAGACAGACACGGATACAGATACAGATACAAATACGGATACGAATACGTTTACGTTTACTACACGTTTACGGCGAAAGCGGAGCCGTAACCGTGGCAAACATTTTACGATACATCGTCGCTGTCGACGTCGACATCGTTTTTTGCATAATTGATTAAATGACTGGCTATATAACACGGATGGTAGAAAATGGATGGATGATTTCGGGGGCGGATTCCCGAAGGCGGTAGTGCAAAATGAGAATTTACGGCGGAAGATGGCCAGTGAAAAGCGACGGAAAAAGATCACGTTAGTTATGGTGTTTGTAAATGTTGTGATTATTGGCCAAATGAAAAATGCAAGCAATCGTCCTCACAATTGGCAACAAACACACCTTGTTTGTCATCATCATCATCATCATCATCATCAGCGTATGAGTTTGTGTTTCTCTCATTTTTTATGTAGGTATATGTATTTATTTGATGGCCCTGACATTGATAGAATGGAAAAAGTGAAAAGCGAGGCGTGTTTCGTGAGCTCACCACTTTTGTAATGAGTACGAATCGATAAAAGAATGGTATTTTGGGCTTTTCAAGGTCTTTTTCGCTGACAA